CTGCCTCTGGCGCTTACGCGCGGTGTCTTTGGCGCTTAGGCGCGACCTTCTCTATTTCACCGGTGCTTAAGCACCGGATCTGGCGTTTAGGTGCCAAAACACTTTTGCACAAATTTCACATTTTTGCTCTAAATTTGATCCTTTTTCACTCCTTTTAGCATTTTTCAACATTTTACTTGTACCTGAAAGAAAAACATAAAAATACCTTCCATTAAAACGCAATATCCCAAAAATAAGTATAAAAATGTGTCTAAAAACACTATATATTTTAGGTGTACCAAAATCCCCCAAACTTAAAATGATATTTGTCATTCTTTAAAAACTAAATAAGTATGATATGTATATGAGTTTCTTTAGGAGTTACTAAAATTTAGATTTAGAAATATAATAGTCCAAATTAGAAAAAATATTCAGTAAATGAGACCAACTTAAAGTTTATAAATTTTTAATGTTAAGAAAGATGAAAATATGAGTTCCTGTCTAATTCAGAAATATTGTAGATTCGCCAAGTTTAAAATTTAGTTCTTTTATTATCTCAACTTAAAATTTTTTATTAAAAATAATTTTACTTAATATATTATATCCTTAAGCTTATGAGTTTCCCAAGTCTTATAATTTAAAGAGATCAAATGTGGAACAAAGTTTTGATTAGACACTAATCCTCAAGCTTCTCCTCCCTTACTTTTCTCTTTTTTTTTTCTTCAATTTTTAATTTTTTTTCTTTTCTTTTTGAGGCAAGGATTACTATATCTGGATAGGTCTTTAATAGTTTTGAATTCCAGCTCTCCTTTCTTAAAGCAAAGTCTTGATAAAAATCTTTTACTTATAAACTTAATAATTGTTCTAAAAATTATTTTAATAAAAGAAATTTAAGTATTAAAAATAAATATTTAAATTTTCTAAAATTTTCAAAAATACAATTTTTCTTACTAAAAATAGTTACACTATATTTAACATTTTCTACACAAAAAATTTTTAACTAAAAGTTTTTCTTTATTACTTAGAATTTTAACTAAATTCTCTTTCTCATTTCTATAGTCAAATTTTGCTTCCCTAATAAAACTTCATATACATGATTATTTTTCTTTTCAAATCAAATTCATTTGTAGCACATTTGAGAACAAATAAGATTCAAGTTTTGAAAATATTTTTCATTCCCCCCCAAAACTTAATTTTTTTTAACAAGATTAAACTGTTTAGCAGTAGATATAAATAAGGAATGAAAATGGAAATAACATGCTTACAGGAATTTTTATATCTTAATTATACAAGTAGAAAACTAAAAAATAGGAGTAAAATCAATTTTTGATAAACTTTCTATTATTTTCATTTTAATTCAACATGTAGAGATTCAATAGACTTCTAAGCAGTGGATACAAACATAAAAACAGACTAACAAACTAACTTTGATTTCCAATCTCCACATAAGAACAAACACACTTAAGATAAAAGAAAAATTCAGGGTAGCAGTTTTCTAAAATAAAATTTTAAAACTAAAGTTAGCAAGATTTTTAAATTTTTAAAAGACATAGAAATACGTTCAATTCTAGCTAACTAACACATTAATCAACACACAACAACAATTATTACGCTAGAATTTTAAAACAAACTACTAACAAAACACAACATCACAATGCAATTAAACAAAATAAAAGTCTCACACATCACAGAGTCTAAAAAAATACACAAATGCAAATGTAGCAAGTCCAAACGACATAGTCCAACTACATATTACAAACATCAAAATAAATAACTCAATCCTCATCCTCATCATCTTCAGAATCACCGCTATTCCAGACATTTATAGACTCATAATAAGAGTATCTAGGATATCGAGGAAATTGGACTCTTGGGTTACCCCTAATGAGGTTTTCCAGAGATGAATGAAATTTCTCTTCATAATCACTTTTTCTACTATTATACCCATCAATACGATCTGTAAAGCTTTCTAAATTTCTTACCTTATCTGTGACATAGTTGATATTGTCCATCATCCTCTGTAATAGTTAAGTTAAATGAGTTTCTGTGGACTCACCTCCTCACCTCTAGAAGTAGATGGCCTAGATGTAGAAGCAGCAGACATTGCCATTCCATAGCTCCTTGAAAATCCTCCTCTCCAGCCAAAAATAGAATGCTCAGAATATAATTTCAAAATTATACTAGTAATTGGCTTCAAAGGCAACAGTACTTCCTCTCAGCTATCATATCTCACTCCAGCCTACTCACATAAAGAAAATATCAAGGAAGCAAATCCCAGACCTGTAGTAGTAGTGGCAGTGG